ACTACAAGCTTGTCTCACTTTCAGATTGTTACCACCAATATTATCGACCTGTCTTATATTTAAAGAAATTAATAATGAAGAATCTGCATAAATATATGTATGTTTCTTGTATTGTGATAAAACACAAGTACCTAGAGCCATAAAATTTCGAAAAACGTAATCCTTCTGCGAATATGGGCACACCAAATTTTAAATTTGGATTATGTTTTGTTACCGATTTCATATTTTGTAAAACTTTAACGAATTTTTGATTAACAAACTCTAAGGATTTCAAAGCGAGCAATGGCGAGGTTGTACAGAAAAAAAAACATTTTTATCTTCAGCGCGCGCGAACTGACTATCGGAAATTCTAAAGATATGCTAATTTTAAATATTTTGTGATTTTGCTGTTAAATCGAATTTTATATGGCGTAGCTCCAAGAACGTGATATTTAAAAAGTAAAGTAAACACACAAAACGTTAATAATAAAAAGACAAAAAAAAAAAAAAAAAGTTCTGCAAAGCCATCTTAGTACGAAAACTGAGCATTCATATAATGAAGTGTGAAAGGACTGAAAAAAGAGAGAAAAATGTGCACCAACACTTAATACTGAGTCGAGAATTCTAAACGTATACTACTATGCCACTTTTAAATTATTTCGTAATTTTTCTATTGAACTACATATGCGCTAAATGCGAAGAAAATTATTGTTACTAATAAAGCTAAAAAGACATAAGAGTTAGTAGGCGTGGGTGTTGTAATACCACAATTGTAGGCTGCGAGCTCATCGAGAACGTAAAAAACTTAACAAACCCTTTTGGAAGACTGTTAAAATCTGAAACTTTTCAGATTTTTTTTTTTTTTTTTTTTTATTTATTTATTTTTGGATGTCAGCTAGTTTAGACGTAGGCGGTAGGCGGATTTTTCACTTTTAAAAAAGTTAACCTTGGATTTTTTTCACATTGTTACCTAACGCAATATTATGCCTTTCAATTAAAAATTAATGGTGTTAAGTACTATGTAGTCAGTTTTTAAAAAATGTTCTCCTTCCCCATTGCTTGCCCTTGTGGTGTAATGGGAAGAACGTCCGGTTAGCAATCAGAAAGTCCGGAGTTTGAATCCCGAAGATGGCATCGTTATTTTCCTGTTTCTTGCTTCGAAAAGCCTAGTAGATTGTACAAACTGAGAATAAAATAGCAAATGTATCGAAATACAGTTGGTACTTCTGAAATCTTGAAATATATTTTACAAATTCTTTCGATAAAATTATCCGTTTTCTTTCTTTAAGCGGCTTCATTCATTTTCATAGAATTACATAATGAATTCTGTTGGTATTTTGAATGTTGGATTCCATAATTTGAATTTAATTTCGAATTCTTTCCTTTCTGAACATTGTTTATTACTTGCTTTTAGCTTAAAGGTATATGTTCTAATTAAGTCAGTAATTTTACCTTCAAAAATGCTGCTCACAAACCGAAGGCTGGCCGTATCTGCCACAGCAGTAAGCACGATTATTGCGGAAAGATGCCTACAAAATATACCTCATCTTTGATTTTGATTCACTTCAATTAAACTGAAACGTTATTAAATTCAATTAAACTGAATCACTTCAAATTTTTCAACAGCGTGATTGTTTTAACTCAACCTAAAATGTTCTAAATCGTATCTCAGAGAAAAAATCGAAAATGTTAGGGGGGGGTATTTTCAAAAATAAATTTTGAAATCATAAGAAATCAGCCGAAATTCGAGAAAAATTGTCTATAATTGTCTATAACATCACGATCAAGATTGGCGGATACATTTTTTTCTTTCTTTGACTTCCTGTTTTAGACAGCTTAAATCTCTGATCAGTGGAATATTATTTTTTTATAAACGGAAAACATGATTTTATAGCCTTAAAGCTAAATGTAGTAACTCATCCTTAATTTATCACACGTTTGATTAGGATCAAAGGTTGCTTCTCTGACCAAGGTTACGTCCCAACGTATGTTGCAAATATGATGCATCATAATTAACAGGTTTTTAATTTTTTTCCCCTCTACCTTTCTGTCTTTCACACACACACCGAAAGAAAAATTTACGGTTTGATCTCGTTGACCCTTCTGAGCGTCATGTGAATAATTAAAGTAAATGCAGGAGATATAAAAGCGAGGCAAACTTTCACCATTCATTCTCATCTTCGACAAGAAGAGTAAAGGTAAGACCAAATTTCTATTGTTTTAGAAAGTGAGATCTTAGTGTAGCCTATTTTTAGAATAAGCCATTAGATTAAGTATGTACTTCAAAACCAGTCTTGTTCATTTGCTTCAACAACTTTCAAGCTCCAACATAGTGCAAGTTCCAATAATTTAGGACATTTACATCGAATAACATTACTGCATATCGTATTTAATGTCGAAAAATAGGCTTGCAGTTTTAGTATGTCGAATCCAGTTAGCATGTACGTATGCAAGCGTTAAAAGATTCTCTGCTCTGTAACGTATAAAATATTGCCAAATTTTGTTTTTACAGCTAGGATATTATGTTCATTACTTACAAGTTATCAATGAAAAATACTTTAAATGCTATGTCTGATCCTTTTCTCAGACTATGCTATAATGAATTCTATTTTAATCCTATAAAGTGCCATTATGGACTCTATAAGGATCGAATGCAACCGAAATAATTTTGCAGTGTCTACACGTAGATTTTTTTTCCTTAAAATATGCCATCGGAAATTTTGCTTTAATTTTATTATCCACTACAATGGATTCTAAGGGGCTCTTTTGATTAAATAAAGGAAAAATGAACGTCATCAATATAACTTCTCAACGCTTGCAACAATGCTAGTTTATATTTTAAAGAATTATGCTCCTGACTTATTACTACGCTTCCTTTAACAAAGAATGTTTCATTTTGATGCTACTGCATTCTATCCAGTTCGTGAGAGAATATATTACAGATTTGTAAAAATAATTCACCTGAACATTTTAAGTTTTTTATAAACAGATGTTAATTTATAAACCAACGATATTCTTTATGACAACTTTGGAATTCATTTGGTAAAATATTATGTGAAAATCTTTACCCTAGGAAGTTTAGTGAAGATTTTCTTCTTTCATTCTGAAAACTCTAACATTATTTAAAATTAATTTTCTTCAATTTCACTTGAAATTTCAAAGCGGAACTCACCTTGCTAAATTGATGTATAACTGAAAACATATTCTATTAAACTATAAAGTATTTTTCCCGCCTCCTTAGCAAGTTTTTGTGGTGTAGTGGTCTGCACTCTCACCGCGTAATTCAGAAGTCTGCGGTTCGATTCCCGACGAAGGCGTTGCTAATTTTTCACTTTGCCTGCTTCAAAAAAAATACCTAATGTCTCTACAGAACAATTTGTTTAACACGTACAAGTGCGAGGCCCACCAGCGGCCGAGCGGTAAAGTCGCTGAACACTGGTAGTTCGGTCCGAGGTTCGAATCCCGCGAACGGGCTGGCTGCATGGGTGTTTTCGTGGTTTTCCCATGTGTAACGTGTATACGAGCCAGTTTCCCTTAGAAAGTTCTCCACGAAAGGCATCCCTCCTCTTATGCAGATAGCCCTCGTGTGCTTTGCCATAATTAAATACACACACACACGTACAAGTGCGAATTCGGAGTGTTGCAGAACACTTTAAAGAAGATCCTTTTGGTATTTACCCAAATATTTGCTTCGAATTCATATTGTTTTGCTTTTCCCACCATAAATAAACTTATTTAGAAATTATATTACTTTATCCTTTTATGGTGTTTCAAAACTTCTCAAATAAGCTGTTGTAGTATATTAATATAAGCTGTTGTAGTATATTAATATAAGCTGTTGTAGTATATTAATATAAGCTAGTATATTAGTATATTAATAAACTGTTGTTTAAGCTGATTTTGATTATTTTTCTAAATGAATTTGATAAATAATCTTTCAGAGATTGTTCTAGTTTTCCACATAACTAAAAAAGCTACTTCAAAAAAATTTTTTTTTCTTAAAAATGAACCATTCGTTAATAGTAAAACATGTTAGTTCAAGGATATGACCCCCTCCCTAACAAAAGTAGATTCTAGCCTACAGATCTCAACCAGTGAGGAATTCCCCTCTGGGGAGGGATTTTATAGTTCTAGTGGGAAATCAAATAACCTTTTATTTAGCTGTTAAATATTTAAATATTTAAAAATACTCTTTAAATTATAAATTATACTCTTTAAAATGTAATCTAAACCTAAATAAATGTTTTGGAACGAGAGTGATAGTTAAAGGGATGCATAGGGCAAGACACCAGTGAACCAATTATCCTTGTGTCTTAAAATGAGCTTAATTTTAGCCTACAACGTTTTTGAGAGAAGATTGATTTCTTCACATGGTTAAAAGTTAAAGAAGCAGTTAATAAGAGGTAATAATTTCCGCAATCCAGGCTAGTCACAACTTCTCAATTGTTAAAACACAATTTGCTGCGTTTGATAGTATTTCCCTTAATATAGTCATTTACACAGAACTTGGCCACACAACCTGGATAGTGGTTAGTGACTTTGACTGCTTACCAAAGACATGGTTTCGAATTCCAGAGAAGACATGGATGTTTCTAAACGGATGGCGTCCGTGCGGCTCGGGGGTATTCAAAATATGCGGCGATGCACAATCTTGCCTTTTTGCCATGATGAATTTCGTCGGCCTTTTCTGATATCGGATAAACGAGATCAGTCACGACAACAATACAGAGCTTATTAAATAGTAAGCTAATGTTTTGTAAATTCTAAGCAAACCCAAACTTTATCGAAAGTAAATAATGTTACTGAGGAAATTTGCTCTTTAGTAATGCATTTTCCTAAAAATCTGCGTTACAAAAGTAAAGTTATTAAATTGGTCAACTATTTTGCGCAACATACTGAATTTTAAGCTTGATAAGAAATTAGAAACTTTTCAATCTTAATTAATTAGTTACTCAAAATATTTGCAAATAAATCGCATTTTTCTACAATTACAATACTTTTTTTTTTTTCTTTACAGTTTCGCCGTTTCTTTCTAAACAAAAGGCATTATCATGAAGTTCCTTATTTTAAGTAAGTTTTATTCATGCATAATAAAAAAATTTTTTTTGATTTATAATGTATAAAATAACAAATGTAGAATCAAAATTATTTTTAATATATTAATTGTTTATTATTTTATTACAGGTGGTATACTCTTAGCTGCAGCATACGCAGCTCCAAAGGTAAATATAGCTTAAAATTCGGTTCAAATGTACCTTTAAATTAACTTAAATATCACTAACAGTATCAAAAAGAATAGTATTGCAACAAATCATTTAGCTACTTTTAGCGAGTTTAAAATACAAGCTACTTTTAAATGCATACCATATCATATACCTATAACCAGAAATTATAGGTCGTATTTGATATTAACATATATTTCAAGCATGTAACTGAAAACAAATTCACTTCAGATATTGTCTGAACGTCTGAATATTAAAACATTTCATGGATAGTTCTTTTTTATGATATTTAACAAAATGTTGCAGATATTTTACAGAAATTTTAAAAATGAATATTTTTACCATATGCTACTAAACTAAATGATTAGAACAAGTAACACATTCTGAAATTCAGACGATATTTTCCGGGAGAAAATTTCTGTGAATTTTTAAAACCGAAATACTTTTAACAGTTTCCCCTCTAAGTCTCTTCGAGAAACTGTATTTTAAGACATCATTTCGATAATTCGGTGTATATTTGTTCTCAAAGATAAAGGCTGAAAGTTGTGAAATTATTTCTAAAATAATATAATGAACAATGTAGCTTATAATATTTACGGCAATCTAACTGAATGAATGAACCTAAACTGCTTGTAATTTTGAACCTTCACGAGAAGTTTCATTTGACTGAATTTAAACAGCTAATGTAACATTAGTTGGATTCTTTTAACATTAAAAAAGTATTGAACAATAAGATATTCAGTTTATCTTAATATTTTTCTTTTGTTTGGAGGGATAATTACAATTCATTGTAGATCATGTAAAACAAATTGAAACCGAAAAGTTTAATAAATTAATAAGAGGAAATAAATTATTTTTTAAACATATTTTCAATTATCTTTGATATTTTGATTTTGTGTATAATACTTGATGTAATTTTTGTTTTAATTTAAAAGAGATTTCATCTTTTGCAAGTTTGTGAAAGAAAATCAGCTCAGAAATAATTATTTCTCAGTTATTCATTAGAATTTCATGTAAAAGTTAGAATCTATAAAAATTTGTTATTCCATATTATTATTTAGTTTTGATTTTCTTGCTAAAGTAAAACAGCTACTTTTTCAGAGAGCAAAACGTGAGGCTTACGCTCTTCCTGACGGTGCTGACCTTTTAGTAGGACCAATTAAAACAACATTCTCTTGCTTCAATGATGGTTATTATCGCCGATATTGACAACAACTGCCAAATCTTCCACGTCTGCCACTTCTGTCCAGGCAGAAGGATGGTTCAAAGGAGACTCAGCAGTGGTCCTTTCATTTGTGGTAACCAGACCATCTTCAACCAACTCACATTAAGTTGCGCTGATCCCGAAGAGGCTGTACCCTGTCCGGATGCTCCAACCTTCTACAGCATCAATGAGAGGATTAATGCTGAAGATCCCAACCTCTACTTTTTGACCGAAGAAGACATAAAAAGAGCAGAAGTTTTATTATACAAGAACAGAAATTAGGGAAATTACATATAATAGAAGGCCGATCTATACTTTGTACTTAAATGATAAGAATAATGGGGTCTGAAGAGAGAGGTTCGAGAAGATATGGTGAATACTTTTGCAACAATTCAGGGTCTTCTTCGGATATTTTTAATTCTTTCGTTTACTTGAAACTTTGGATCTTTTCACAAGTTTACCCCTTCTGTTTGGTATGTTTTATGGCTAAGTAATTTATCTTACATATAGCATCATAATCTTACTCGAAAAAAAATTCTGCTGTTTATTAACATTTGGTGTTTTTTATTATTAACTAATTATGTTTCTGGACTCCTTGTGGTGGTATGCAGATAAGCTTTTGGAAACCTTTGCGCTATTTCTCCAAACCCTGCACTTTGAATTGCATCTTATTGTATCTTATTGTAAATATATCTTACTGTTTTTATGTAGAGTAAATGTTTAATGTAGTTGTTTTATAGGAGTTGTGGTTGCAACAGCAAAGTTGTTTAAATTCTTATATTTGTAAACTAGAAACTGTGATGACTGAATATTCCTGTCAGAACTTCTATGCTTTGTTATAATCTATAAATAAAATTATTTTGGCATTTATACCTGTTTCGTTTCTTGTATGTTTGAAGTGTTACACTGTTTTTAAACTTGCATGACATTACCTTTATTAATTTTTTATATAACATTTATTTAAAGGTACCTTTTTTCGGTAAGTTAAAATTTTTAAGAAACCAAAAATGGGTAACTAATTAAAATAATAGATTTTATAGGCCATTTTCAGTTCGTAAAAATGGAAGACATAGAACTGCTGAAAAGAAGGTTGGAAATATTAATATTTATATTAATATTAATATTTAGTAAATTAATATTTTAATTCACAGAAAACAAAATTTAGAGAAAGAAGAGAAAAGAAAAAAAAAATCTGTATGTTTGTAGATTTCATATTACGCCCAAAGGGACATTTTTTAACGTTGTGTTACCTTTACTTATTAAATATCTTGTTCTTTGCACTTAAACCACAAAATTCAATTCAACAGCAATATCGTAAAATAATTTTAATTATGTCTAAAAATTCCGATACACAGTCTCGCGCGCTGGAGATAAAAATGTTGTTTCCCGTAGAGTGTTGCCATTGCTCGCTTTGAAATCGTTGTGTTTATTAATCAAAATGTCCTTAAAAATGTTACAAAATATGAAATCGATAATAACACAAATTTTAATTTATGGCTGCCAGATGCCCATATTCGGTGGAAGATTGCATTATTCAAAATTTAATGGCTCTAGGTACCGCTGTTCTATCACAATGCTAGAAACATATATATTTATGCAGATTATTCATTATTTAATTTCTTTAAATATGACACAGGGCAATCTATCCCAATGCTAGAAACATATATATTTATGCAGATTATTCATTATTTAATTTCTTTAAATATGACACAGGGCAATCTATCCCAATGCTAGAAACATATATATTTATGCAGATTATTCATTATTTAATTTCTTTAAATATGACACAGGGCAATAATATTTCGAGGCAACAATTTGAAAAGTGAACATACATTTATAGTGAACCAACGCAAAATGCCAAAACGAAATTAATAGCGTCTCTAAAAAGGAATAGTTTAGTGCGAAATATATATATTTATTATGATAAATCCTGAAATTTGCAGTTTTACGTTAATTAACCAATTATTTTTTTCTTATTTTATTTGTTTTTTATCTGTACATTCATTTCTATTTTCTTCAGCTCCCACCTAATTAACTAATTTACCTACCACGATGTAAATTTAATTAATCTATTAAATGTAGAGTCCTTGAATTCGAACGAAAGCCTTTGCAGATACCGTCAGTCAATTACTTATGCCTATCACTAAATGAATTAAATCAGCTTTATCTTTGCTAGTCTCAACTGCTTCGTGTAAGATTAAGAGTTGAACCAAAGCTTAGTAGCCAATTTTAATTTGTATTTAATATTTTAATTTTACTCGAACAATTTTACCTAAGCTGGTAAAATTTTAAATAAAGCTGTTTATAAATAAAGCTGGTTATATTTATCTAAGCTGGTAATATTTTAATTTTACTCGAACGGCAAGCTGGGGAGACTTTTTTTTTTTTTTTTTTTTTTTTTTTTTTTTTACCCGTGTGTGTTACTGAATAGGTCGTATCCTTTATCTTTGCTGAAATTTGCGATTTTAGCTGACACAACGAAAGAGCATATCCTTTGTAAAAAGGTTTGTGGGGAGAAGAAACGTCGGAAATTTTTTATGCTCTAGATCAGTGGTTCTTAACCGGGGGTGCCCGCAACCCTCGGGGTGCGGGAAATGTATTTTGGGGGTGCGGGAGAAGCCCCTACCTAACCATAAAAATTATTAAATATCATTTATTAAATTCTTATAATAAAATATTTGAAATCTGCGATAGTGTCCCCAAGATTGAAGCTCAGAAAAATTGGCAGCACCTATCTCACTTATCGGCAAAAGACACAGGAAAGAGCCGGTGCCAATGGGCATATACACTACGCTACGAAAAGGCCTAAAACGCTACAAACGAACGCGAACAGGCAGCTAGATGATGAAGAAAAGAAAAAAACTTTGTGGGTATACAACAGGAGAACGTTATCCCAGCTTGCTGACCGCAATGCATCTTGTGTTCCAAAATATTTTCAAACAGCAATCTCAGACCATCAAAGTTATTAGAGCATTTCAACATTCTGCATTATGGCGAAAAAGCGCATAGCATGAACAGCTTGAAGTCAAAGAAGGCTCGGTTTGATACCAGTGGAACTATCCTAAATTGTGCTGATCAAGAATTCAAAAAACCTTTGTTAGAAGCGTCATATCAAGTGGCATATTTATCTGCAAAAAAGAAAAAGAAAAAGAAAAAAGAAAAGAAAAAAGAAAAAAAGAAAAAGAAAGAAACCTCACACGATCGCTGAAGAGTTGATTAAACCTCTGTTTTAATTATTGCTAAAACAGTTTAGATTCGGAAGCACATAAAAAAATCCAACAGATTCCATTATCGAATGATATTATACGATCGTGAATACAAGATCTCAGTGAAGATATTTTAATGCAAGTAATGAAGACATAAAAATCACTCCACTAAAAATAGCATGCACTGGATGAGTCAACTGACGTTGATAATTGTAACCAACTTTTGGTATTTGTCAGGTATGTGAAGGAAAAAGAGATGGTAGAAGAATTTCTATTTTGTGAGCCACGGGAGGTGAATACTGAGGAATTAATGTTTTTCAATCGCATCAAATTTTTTACTAAATATCACATTACCAATGAATGTGTTGGCCATATGCACTGAGGAGCCGCAGCAATGTAGGGCAAAAAATTCAGGATTTTTTTCACACATGAAAGAGAATTACGGAAGTTATAATACGCGTTGCAGTTGCATCGTCATGCACTTGCGGCGAAAGCAGTGCCTGAAAGTTTAAAACAACATCTAACTACAGCAGTAATGTAGTAAAATACATCCGAGGGCGAGAGCTTAATCATCGCATTTTTCGTGCATTTTGCGAAGAAATCGGTGCTGATCATACCGTGCTCCTATATCACACCGAAATACGATGGTTACCTAAGGATCGCATGCTGAACAGAGTTTTTGAATTGCGTGAGGAAATTATTCAATTACTGACAAGTCAAAAGTGTTATTTAGTAAAAGATTTTGAAAGTAATGATGCAATGCTGAGGCTTGCCTACTTATCAGACATATTTAGTCATTTAAATGAATTGAATCTATCAATGCAAGGATATGGTACAAATATAATACTATTAGTGAAAAATTATCTCATTTATCGCAAATTAGAAATTTGGATACTCGAGTAAAAAGGGGAATTTTGAAAACTTTCCCTTGCTTGATTCTGTTATTGCGAAAATGAAAAGAATACAATTATACCCGACTTTAGACATTTGAGACCATTGAGCGATCATTCAATGGATAATTTTTCTACCGGAAATATTACCAAAACTCAGAGATGGATACTGGATCCATTTCTATTTGACTTAATTTTATGGATGATAGTGATCTGAAAAAGATCAACTATTGAAATGAAGCAAGTGGCCTGTTCAAATGGAATTCGAACAGGAACACTGAATAATTGCAATAATTCTGGCGTCACAGTTCAACGTTATCCAGAGTTGGCGAACGGAGCACTGCAGTTACTCTTACCCTTTGCTACCCACCTACTTGTGCGAAAGGATTTTCATGCGCTTTTGCTTATAAAACTAAAGCGAGAAATCGCTAAATGCAAGTGATTACTTACGCGTATGTCTTTCAAAAAAGGAACCTCGCTTCGCCATTATAATAATGAACAAAACAACAGACAAGTCATTAATACAAATAATATTCTTTGTATTTATATAAAAAAAACAATGTTTTTCAATAAACAATAAGTTTCGCAAAAAATGTATTTTTCTAGACTAAAAAAATTAAAACACTTTTTTCAATGGGGTGCGACTCGCTAGAAAGGTTAAGAAACACTGCTCTAGATCAATGTTTCTCAACCGCCGGTCCGCGAATTTGCCCGTTATTTTTGTCGTCGTGATTTATTCATGTGAAAAAATTGTGCCAATGGGTCAAAATATTAAACTTACCGGTCAGCGAGAACGTACCGAAATATTTTATCTGTCTTTGGAGTAAATCCAGTTGAGAAACACTGCTTAAGATTTCTGAACCGTTTTGTAAATCTACACATGTTTTTTCTATTT